GGCTGGGGGTGCCGGCGGCCGTCGTGGGGCTGTGGCTGGTGATCTACTTCTTCAGGGAGGACCCACTTGAGGTGTGGGGCCACCACGTCAGCGATTGGGCCGTGCTGGTGGCTCTGGGATTGGTATCTGTTTTGGTTGTTTGGGCCAGCGGTGGATTTGGGAGTGTCTTATTGGGCCTTGTAGTTGGGCTTGTGTTGTGTGGGGTCCACGGGCTGCTCCGGAACCCGGAAGGCTTGTTTCTCAACGAGAATGACGCGGCTTCCCAAGGCTTGATCGGGCCCACTTCTCCATCAGGCTGATAAATCCTAACTTCATATTTTAATAATTATTTTATTATTTGGGGTTGATGAGTTTGTTGCATTCTGTGGCTTGAAAACAAACGACAAGCATTTCATTGTCGTTTTCTTTTTGTTTTGGTTGAATTTTTTTGGGTGTTTGTGGATTGTGGTGTGTTGGGTTTTGACTGATGTTTGACTGATTTATTAGGGGTGTAAGAGTGTAACTAATAATAGAGTGAAAAATGATAGTGTCTTTCTCTTGTAACCATTGATTTATGGGTTTCTATTATTTTTCTGATGGAATGGAATGAAGAAATTTTACTAAATTTAATGCTTGTGTTATTAATTTTCTACTTGTTTGGGTTTGTTGGCTCAGACTCAAAGATTGCTCTCATTGTACTTGTAATTTTGCAAATTGCATATAAAATTTCATGCACTGCATTTACACAGATAGAAGAAAGAAAGATGGGTCTTTGTCACTCTCTCTCTCTCTCTCTCTCTCTCTAACCATAATTGATTGTGTCACACAGCAAGCAAACTTTTATGGCTTTGCTATCAACATGGGACCCTGCCTTGATTGAGTATTTATTTTAGGAGATCAAATGAAATGAAACAAAACAAAACTAAGGGTGTACTCTCAAACTACCATACTTTTTTTTTTATTGCTCTTAATTTGCTTGAGAAAGTCACTCTGATTGCTTCTGGTGCAATATTGGTAAGCAAATTGCAGTAGTGTCCTGAAGGAAAATATATGGTCTAAATTGCTGATATTACAACTAACTAGATTGATTACAAGTGTTAACAAAACTGAGTTCCTTAGAACAAAAGGATTGTTGGTTTCAAACATGAGGATTTCCCATTATATCTTGCTCCTCATTCTTACTAACTTTGCCAAAGTTTCTTGAGCTGCCAAGGTTTGAGCATGGTTGTGACCCAGCATAACTGTTCTGATACTAATACAAGTTCTGCACAGCTCTTCACCGCTGTCGAAATGCCCGCCTCGAAGCAGCAATTTTGCCCTGGTCTCCAGTAATGTCGCCTTCAACAATGTCACGTCTTGCCACACGTATTCATCCACCCTTTGGTTGCTTTGCAACTTGTTCTTCCAACAGAGGGAGCCGTGGCACCAGTCTTGTATTTGAGAGACAAAGGACTTCTCTACTTCCTCAAGTACATTTGTGCAAACCTTTAAAAGTTCCAATGCTGAGTTGCATCTGGAGAAGGTTGTGAAGGCCCTAATTGCAAGAGGGAGGGCTGTCTTTTTTATGTATAAAACCATGTCAATCGCCTTTAACTGCACGAGAGGAGGCTCCGATTTGAATCCGAAAACAAGGAATGCAGTAGCCCACAGGTGGTCTAAGTTTACCAATGGATTGCCAATTTTCCTTGTGCCCTGAACTGTTGCCTTGGCAGCTACTAAACCTTCTTTTCTCTTTGTATATACCTGTGTTATGGGATGGAACTGGATCCAACATCCGAATGGTTTTTTGGCCGTTCGCGCTAATCCTAGTTTAACAAGAAGATGGGCTGAGTCTTCTTCAGCACTCTTCCATGCTTGTGGTGCAAAGCAACTAGAGCAGGAGCCAAATGTAACACTAATGCAATTCGTCCATTTCCTGAGCCGGCTTTTAGTGGCGGGCATATTGTTAGCTGCAGTACTCAGAAGAGTCAAGGAAATAGGTGTTGGGGCAAACCAGGCACCAACAAGAAGCATTCTTGAGGCAAGAAGGTTGATGATCCCACTAGATTGCTGTAAGACGGCGAAGCAAAACGATATGACTTTCATTAGGAAAGAGTTGTTCTTGTAATACTGCTCTTCAGTGATGCTTATGAACGGACAAGGGGAGCCTTCGTCAAGTTGCATTTGGCTGATAGCTTCAAAGAGAGCAGAGGGGGCAATAGCTAGTTCAGAAAGCAGTGACCCAATCAGCCACAAACCAAAGCTCAGCCTTCCTAGTTTCTCATCAAATTTCATCAGAATTTCCAACTCCTCAGCTGAGTAATCTTTATTTTTTCTTCCTCTGATCAAAATCATTGCATCTGAAACCGGCAACGGTGGAAGCTGCATTGCATCAAAATTCATTACCTTGGACAGCCTAGTTGTGATGATCACATGAGACCCTCCTGTGTTCCTTGGGATCAAGTCATGTAGATCCTTCCCTTCCCACCACTCCCTCTCAGTCTCAAGATTATCAATCACAATCAAATAAGGCATGTCCCGGAACAACTCCCTCTTGACTCTCTTGAATGCTTCAAATTCCTGCTCCTCAAAGCTTCGAATTCGTCCCCTATCTTTTTCAGCATCAGCACTCACATCCAATCCCAAATTCTGAGACAGATTCAATATGTTCTGCCTAAAATATCTAGCTTCCCCACCAATCCACAAGACCATCTTGTACCTTTGGCAATACCTGTAAGCAAATTCCAGTGCAAGTTCAGTCTTTCCAATGCCTGGAACCCCATTTAAGCAGATCACACTGCTTCCCAAGCTCTTGTAATTCCCACTTTTCGACTTCTTGTACTTCGACCTCTTGAATGAATTTCTTCCCACAACTGGTTCAATCCAAGCCTCTAAATTGGGCTCCTTGCACTTGCCCATCTCTAAATTAATGTACCTCCCTCCTCTAGTGGTAACCACTTCGCTTTCGTCATCTGCTATGCCTTCAGAATGGCCACTGGCTTCTCCTTTGATGATGGTCATAGAGCATTCTTGCTCTAAGTAGTCCCCTGAAGAACCAAACAAAGCAGTTTCAATTTCCATAATCTCCTTCTCTCTTCCCACAAAGAACTTGTTTCTTGGGAAAGGCAGCTCATCAACTCCTTCCATATCTGTCTGAGACACGCTTTGCCTCCCAAGCTTTGCCCGTAAAACCCCGGCAGCTTTAGATACAATGTTCCTCCAGTTACCCTCATTGGCTTCCAGCTTGAACTCATTGGTCTTCATGAGCCCATCAATGGCTTCTTTACATTCTTTGTCAATTGAGCTGTAGTTGAGAAGACCCAAGATTTCAGCAGGCCCAGTGTCAAAGAATATTGGGAACAGGTTCTTCTTCTGGGCAAAGAACCTAACCTCCTCCATGCTCAAATGGTTGATAAAGCTAGAACTAGTAACAACCACAACCCCATATGTCACTGAGCAGATGACTCTGTCAGCAATCTCTTGGCTCTGAGTATCAGAGTACTTAGCCCTGTCAGCAACAAAACAAGCAATACCCTGGAGCTCAAGCTCTGATTTAAGCCACTTGCAGAAGCGCACCAAGCTTGGATTTTGGCCATGGAACCCAATGTACACATCACAGCTCCTCAGCTTGGCATTTGAAGCAGGGGAAACAGGGCCTTTGGCAAATGAAATCCGAGGGACAGGGAAGGAAAAAGAAATGCGTGGAGGTGCAGAGTCAAACTTGAGCTTCAAAGGGTCAGAAACATCATCAGAATATTCATATTGATCTGACGGTGGAGTGTAAGAACTGCTTGGTATGTCATCTGACTGTGAACCACGGCATAATGAGACCAGTGGAGAAGGCTGTGTGGTGGGGTTTGAGCTCTCTTGGGTTTCTTGGGCCTTTGGAGTTAAGGCCCTTGGAGAAATGTATGGAGACTGAAGAGCTGAAACAAATGCTGATGAAGGTGGGGAGACTAGAGATGGAGAGTTGTATGGTGAGGATTCAATTGAGTTCTTCAAGTTTGGAGAAGGCGAGGTCTCTTTACCTGTTTCTTGTCTGCTACAAGTTTTTGTTGTTGTTGGTGTTGTTGATGAAGCTATTTTGATGGTAAGCCCACTAGAAACCATGGTGTCTAGAGGAGTTTTCTGGGGAGCTTTAGCAGATTTTGATGCTTGTTTCTCTTCATCCATGGCCATTTGCAGCTTTGGTAGATCTCACTTCAGATATTTAAACTACACCAGTCTTCCAGTTCTTTTCACCAGAAAGCATTAGTACTTAAAGAGTTACTACTCTCTCTCTCTACAATGTACTTTGAATACCGAGCATCCCCAGGTCCTCACAAGAATCATTTTTTGGCTGAAGGGAACCAAAATCCCTCAGCTTTCTACTGTGCTTTCTTTTTAAGTTTCAAAAATATACTGAAAGATACAATGTTTCTGTGAATGGCTCAGATGTGGGAAGACTCTGCCAGAAGATGAATGCAACAGTAAAACTCAAACAGGAGAAATCTTCTGCTCTTGATGTATATCACTGGCCATTGTGGGCCAATCTTTGGTGAGAGCCAGACTTTTGTTTCTATCCTGCAGCTGATGAGAGCAGATTTGACCAAGAGGGTTAGAAACAGAAGCACAGAAAATCCACCTTAGTGAATGATGAGTTGGGTTCTTTTTATTTTTCATGCATTTACATCAAGCCTATAGTTTGGGAAGATTTGAATGCTAATCATTTAAGCTTTTGCTTGCTATGATTGAAGTTGTTGCTTTGATTGATCTATATAATCATAATATAACAACTAAAAATGACCATATATATATTTGGTGCAATATTCTCAAAATCAATCAATTTGTTACCTTAGCTTTGATGGATAGGAGGCTAAGATGAAAAGGAAGGCCCTACTTTGCTGCAACTCCTGCGAAGCCCACGTCTTCGTGTTTCTGTTTCTGTGATTGAACAAGCTGGATGGAGAGAGAGAGAGATAGAGAGAGGGAGAGATGGGTGGGAATCTAATTGCTAATGTATGGGTTGGATCTGTGAGGTTTTGAACATAAAATATTACCCAAAATGCTTAAAAAGAAGTTGCAACAGAAGGTTAAATGCATAACATTTGTATTATATTAATTTGTGTTGGGGTTTGCCAATTTATTTTTGTTTTATGTGCTGTACATCTTAATCTCTCTCAATTCTAAATCTAACATGAGATTTCTCTCACTTGGTCACAGAAGCCAAAGATTGGTCAGAAAGCAAGCACTAGGAGAAAAGGACATTGGGAGAGCAACCATAACTCACAACTTGTTTGTACACTTGGGTGGGTTTGTGGCCAAACCAAATGGGGTTCAAACTCAAATTGTACTAGACATAAATAAAAAACAATATTTACCATATATTAATTGTTTCCTAAACTATACATATATTTGGCAATGCAGTTTTTTCCTCTGAGTGAATGAAGTCATCCGACAGAGTTTGAATAATATTTGCATGGGAAATTGGACCAAAGACCAGTCCAACTGACTCACTGAGAGGACTGAAGAATTTACCATTCAAGAGTGATTTTCTTTTGCCTATATGGGTTCTCTGGGCACTCCAAATGGAGTCACCTTTTTATATTATCTTTAGATTCTTATGCATATGATAAGATTC